GGTGGAGGGATGGGGGTAGAAGAATGATGGAGGGGTGTGGATGAAGGCTTGAGGAGGCAGGAATGGGGGATGAAGGGGTGGTGATTGAGAAAGGGGATTGGTTGTATGAGGATGAAGGGAGGGAGATGGAGGGATGGAGGTGAAGGGATGGTGATGGAGGGATGAGGATGGAACGATCTGGGATAGAGACATGGAAATGGAGGGATATGTGATGGAGGGATGGGAATGGAAGGACTGAGGACGGAGGAATGGGGACAGAGAGATGGGGATGGAGGGGTGAGGGATGAAAGGACATGGAATGGGGAAGGACGGCCATGAAGCCCATGGGCTGTGGTCCCACATGGCAGCCTCCCACATATGCACATGCATGTGCGGGGGGCAGCGTGCCGGTGTGACCCGCGGGGCACGGTGATGGGCAGCTCCCCGTGTGACCCCATCAGTGGGGATTGCTACTGCAAACGCTTCGTGGCCGGGCGCTCCTGCAGCCAGTGCGTGGTGAGTTCCCCAGCCTGTCCCACACCATGCACCATGCCCCTGACTCTCCCCAACCCCATGGCTACCCCCAGGTCTGGGCTGGCCCCACACATCCCTACATGTCCCTCCTCACTGCAGCCTGAGTTCTGGGGCCTGAGCTACGACCTGGGGGGATGCCGGCCCTGCGCCTGTGACTTCGGGGGAGCCTACAGCAACCGGTGGGGCCTAGCACAGCACCTAGGGGCATGGAATGGGATGGGAGTGGGGACAGGGCTGGGAGTGACACATGGGGGGGAGGGATGGGAACATTGGTGGAGGGATGGGGACAAGGCTGGGAAGATAGAGGGGACTGGTATGGAATAAGGGAGGGAGGGGTCTCCATCTCCAGAGATGGAGGGACGGATGAGGACAAAGCCAGACAGGAGGACAGATGGAGGGACAGGATGGTCGCCCCCAGGTGCTCCATGGAGGACGGGGCTTGTCCCTGCCGTCCCCACATCATGGGGCGGCAGTGTGACCAGGTACAACCCGGATTCTTCTGCGCCCCCCTCGACTACTACACCTATGAGGCTGAGCAGGCCACCGGCCATGGCCACAGCCACCCCCAGCTCCCGGTGAGTCTTCTTGGGAGTCCCTGTGCTTGTACATGGCTGTCACTGTGCACCATGCTCCATGCATGGCTGTCACCCATGCTCCATGCATGGCTGTCACCCTGTCATGCATGTGGCTGTCACCATGCCCTGTGCATGGCTATCCTTGTGCATGGCTGCCCCTGTGCATGGCCACTATCCCCTGACCCCGTCCCTGCAGGGTGCCATCAGGGCAGAGGTGCCTCAGGACTGTCTGGAGTACAACACTAGGGAGTCAGGGGGGCGGAAGGGACGCTCACGGCACCAGCGCAGCTCCCCCCGTGCCCCCCAGCTCCGCACCCCCTTGCGCCGCAGCCGCCAACAGCCCCCCAAGGTGAGCCCTGGGGTGGTGGGAGAGGGCACAGGCGGGCACTGTGGGGCAGGGGCAGTCTGGAGGCAGAGCCTGGGCCAAGCTGTGCCGGTGCCCTGCCCAGCCGGACGTGGAGGAGGTGGTACGGGATGGTGCTGGGCACATGGTGACGTGGACAGGCTTGGGGTTCGCCCGGGTGAGGGACGGGGCTGGCCTGACCTTCCTCATGGACAACGTGCCCTACCCAATGGACTACGAGCTGCTCATCCGCTACGAGCCTGAGGTGAGCACGGCCACGGCCGCGGCCACGGTGTGTATGGCCCGGCATGGCACAGCCCTGACACTGCCTCACCTGTTGCCACAGTCAGCTGAGGACTGGGAGGTCGTGGTCAGTGTCAGCTCCCGGGTGTTGCCCACCAGCCCTCGCTGTGGGAACCTGCTGCCCTCCGAGCAGATGTACCGTGAGAGCCTGCCCCACAGCCAGAGGTGGGATGGGATGGGATGGGGTGGGATGGAGGTGGGGACAAGGATCGGGACAGGACAGGGACAGGGACAGCCCTACCACACTCCCAGAACTGAGGGATGGGGATGGAATGGAAACAGGGGCAATCCTACCACACAGGTGAGGGATGGGGACAGGGACAAGGAAGGCGGTTAGGTTCTGCTGCTGTCCCCTTGCTGTCCCCATGGCCCCGCTGTGCCCATGCCCTGACACCTGACTCTGTACAGGTATGTGCTGCTGTCCCGGCCCTTCTGCTTCGAGCCCAGCACCCCCTATGAAGTGACCATGCGGCTTCAGCGGGCTGGTGTCACCCAGCGCCACCCCGGCGCCTTCATCCTCATTGACTCGGTGAGGGGGGTCCCACTGCAGCCCATGCCTGGGGCTTGGCAGGGGTGGGGTGATGGGCAGAGATGGGGGACCACAGGCTGGGGTGGGCAGTGACCCCGCTCTGGAGATGTACATGGGATGGGGATGAGGATGAGGTAGAATGAGGAGGGAATGGGATGGGATGGGATGAGGATGTTGATGGAGAAGGGGATACCAATGAGACTGGGACTTTGACAGAGTTGGAGTTGGCACAGAGATGTCAGTGTGGAAGGGTATAAGGAAGTCTTTGGGGATAGGAATTAGTATGGGAGTATCAATGGGTTTGGGGATGTCAGTGGAACTTCAGCTGTTGATGGAGCTGAGTGGTTGAGCCTCCAGCAGGATCAGGGCTGTACTGGGACAGATGGATCCATCTTGGTGGCAGGGGCCAGGTCTCGCAGTGGGGGCTGTCTGTGCCCCCCAACCCCCTCTCCTCTCCCCTTCCCACAGCTGGTGCTCCTGCCACGGGTGTTGGAGTTGCCAGGTTTCCATGGGGCGGAGGCGGCAGCGCGCCAGGAGGAGCTGGAGCGGTACCGGTGCCTGGAGGTGTTTCACATGGCCCCCCCACACCCCTTGGCCCAGGCCTGCACCCGCCTGGTCTGCAGCGTCTCGGCCCTGATGCACGGCGGGGCACTGCGTGAGTGGGGACCCTGCGGGGATGGGACTGAGGAGTGGGCAAGGTGGAGCCCTGCCCAGGGCAGTGGGTCAGGATGTGGCCATGCCCGTGGCAGGGTGGGCAGGAGAGCAGTGACAGGGCATCGGTAGGTGTGGGAAGGTGTGGAGAGGGCAGCCCTGGCCCCATGCTGGTCCTGCTCCTGCAGCCTGCCAGTGCGACCCACAGGGCTCCCGCAGCAGCGAGTGCCAGGTCCAGGGTGGGCAGTGCGAGTGCAAGCCCCACGTCATCGGCCGACGCTGTGACCGCTGCGCCCCAGGCAGCTATGGCTTTGGGCCCCAGGGATGCAGCCGTAAGTGGTGGGATCTGTGTCTGCCAGGGATCCCTGTCCCTCCTGTCTGTCTCTGTCCAGCCATCAGTTCTCTGTTCACTGCCTTGTTCACTTGTCTGTACATCTGTCCATCCATGCACGTGTCCATCTCAGCTCTGTTGTCCTGCAGCCCATCCCAGTTCCCCCCTCCATCCATCCATCCACTCATCCATCCATCCATCCATCCACCTAAGCCCCCTGTGGACGCTGTCCTGCCTGGCACTCACTTGGCTGTCTGTCCACTCATGTTCTTGTGGACCTGTGTGTCCACATGAGCCCTTCTGTGCCACAGTCCTTGGAGTCGGTGCTGGTCCCCTGCCTGTCTGTCTGTCCATCCCTATATCCCTGCATCCCTGTGCCTGACTGGAGCCGTGCTGCCCCACAGCCTGCATCTGCTCCCCGGAGGGCTCGGTCTCCCAGCTGTGTGACGCAGTGAGCGGGCAGTGCCAGTGCCAGTCTGGTGCCGTGGGCCGGCAGTGTGACCAGTGCCAGCCCGGCTACTGGGGCTTCCCTGCCTGCCGGCCCTGCCAGTGCAACGGGCACGCTGAGGAGTGTGACCCTCGCACGGGCACCTGCCTGCGCTGCCGCGACCACACGGATGGACGGCACTGTGAGAGGTGAGCCAGGGCCAAGGGGAGGGGATGGCATGGCATGGCGTGGTGTGGTGTGTGATGTGGCATGGAATGGAATAGATACAACGAGATAGGATAGAATGAGATATGATTATATGGGATATGTTGGAATGGGGGGATGGGATGAGATGGGATGGGGTAGGGTAGTATAGGATGGGATGGGATGGATATAATTGGATATAGGATGGATGGGATGAGATGGATGAGATTGAGATGGAATGGAATGGGATAGGATGAGATTTGATGGTATGGGATACAATGGAATGAGATGGGATGGATGGGATGGTGGGATGGTATATGATGGCTGTGATGGATCCACTGGGCACTCATCCCTTGTCCTTGCAGGTGCCAGGATGGTTACTACGGGAATCCCGTGCTGGGCTCAGGCCAGCAGTGCCGGCCCTGCCCCTGTCCTGGCTACCCCGGCACACGGCACTACCACGGGAGCTCCTGCCACGCCAGTGAGGAGACCCACCACATTATCTGCCTCTGCGCACCTGGATACGCAGGTGAGGGGAAGGGCAGGCACGGTGCAGCGGGGACCACCCAGCACTGGAGCTGCAGGAGCCCAGCACCTACAGCCCCCACTTTCCACAGGGCCCCGCTGCGACCGCTGCTCCCCTGGCTACTTCGGGGCTCCGGAGATGGAGGGGGGCGTGTGCCGGCCCTGCCAGTGCAACAACAACATCGACACCAGCGACCCGGGGGGCTGCGACCCTCGCACGGGGCAGTGCCTGCGCTGCCTGTACCACACTGCCGGGCCTCACTGTGCCCAGTGCCAGCCTGGCTACTATGGCAATGCCCTGCAGCGCAGCTGCCGGCGTGAGCGGGGCAGGGGGCTCTGAGGCGTTTGGGTTAGGGAAATTGGGCTGAAGCAAGGGCTTGGGGTGGGGATGAGGCTCATGGCTGTGGTTGGGTGTAGAGTGATTGGGGTTGTGCAGGGCAGTTGGGTTGGGCAGAATTTTGTGGTGTTGGGGGGTTTGGGGCTTGGGGGTCAGGGCCAGGTGAGGTTTGGGGCTGTGCCTGGGTTGGGGCTGGGCAGGGGACAGGGATTGGGATTGGTAGGGGTGTTGGGCCTGTGCATGGGTTTTGGGGCCAGGCAGATCTGGGGTGTTGGGGCCAGCAGGGCACTGCTGAGCCCCAAGTGGATGCCCGCCCTCCTGCAGGCTGCGGCTGTGACCCGCGGGGCACACTGGCCTCACACTGTGCCAATGGCACCTGTGCCTGTGACCGTGGCACGGGAGCCTGCACCTGCCGGCCCAACGTTGTGGGCAAGAGCTGCGACCGCTGTGCACCCCAATTCTGGAGCTTGGGAGGTCCAGGGGGCTGCGAGCCCTGTGACTGCCACCCCATACATGCCCTGCACTCTGTCTGTGACACGGTGAGTTCCCTGGCACCCTGGCATGGCTCCAGTGCCCTCCCGGGGCCTGGTGAGCCACCCACTGAGCACAGCACTGTTGCTGCAGGTGACAGGGCAGTGCCAGTGCCGGCCCGGGTTCGGGGGCCGTGTCTGCTCCCAGTGCCAGGAGCACCACTGGGGAGACCCTGAGCAGGAGTGCCGAGGTGGGGGCACACTCCAGGGGCTGGGGCTCTGGGGGCTCCGGGGACATGAGTTTTGGGGGGAATCTGGGTGCATGATGAGACTCTAGGGACATGGGTGGAGTCTCTGAACGTGGGACACTGGGGACACAAGGGATTCAGGAGATCTTGGAGACATGGTGGGATGCTGGGGGCACAGAAGACCTTGGTGACACAGTGGGATGCTGGGGACATGGTGGGACCCTGAGGACATGGGGAGTCTGTGGGACCATGGAAGACTCAGGGGACCCTGAGTACATGGTGGGACTGTGGGGACATAGGAGACCCTGGGCATAGATGGGACTCTGGAGACATAGGGGATTATGGTGGGATGCTGGGAATATGGTGCCACTCTGGGGGCATGGGTGTCTGTGGGGAGGCCGGGACACACATCTGACTGTCTCTGCAGCCTGTGAGTGTGAGCCGCTGGGTGCTGAGAGCCCACAGTGCGAGCAGGACAGCGGGCAGTGCCAGTGCCGGCTGGGATTTGGGGGGCTGCACTGTGACCGCTGCCAGCGGGGCTACCAGGAGCCTTTCCCCCACTGCTCGCCCTGCCACCCCTGCTTCGGGCGCTGGGACCCGGCCGTGGGCAGCCTGCGGGACGGACTGCGGCGCCTTGGGGCGCAGGTGCAGGCCCTGAGGGAGGGGGGATCCGCGCTCCCACTCAGCCCTCGTCGCCTGAGGGAGCTGGAGGAGGCCCTGGGACGCGTGGAACGACTGCTGGGTGAAGCGGGCAACCCCAGTAGCCCCCTCCTCAGTGGACTGCCTGGGCAGCTGGACGGCACTAGGCAAGTGTGCGCATTGGGCTCGTGTGGGGGGACCCTCCTTTTGTCCCCCAAAAAAGTTTAAGACCCCATCCCCACCCCAAGAATGGAGCTGGACAACTTCTGGAGGCACCTCCAAGAGCTGGAACAACATCTGGACCAGTTGGCGCAGGCAGATGTGCGGCACCATGACCAGCTAGCTGGGCTGAGCCACAAGCTGGGGGGTCTCAACCGAACCACCTCCCATCTCCAAATCCTCCTCGGCACCGTAGCAACGACTGGATTCAGCGGTAAGAGCATCTGGCAAGGATTGGAGGGGTTGGTGGCAGCCATCCTGGTCAAACCCTGACACCAGCGCCCTCAGAGTCTTACCGCAGCATCCTGGCATCGGCGGAGGCCTCGCGGCAGGCAGAGGTGGTGGCCAATGGCACAGCTGGTGAGCTGAGCAGGTCACAGGCGACGCGGCGGGCAGCTGAGCGGGCATTGCGGCAGCGGGGCGATGCTTTCCGCCGTGGCACAGCCGCAGCACGGAAATCCTTGCGGGAGGCACAGAAACGGGTGATGGGACTCAGCATTGCCAGGATCAATGAGAAGGTGAGAGCAGGACTGGTGGGAGTGGCATGGGGGTCTCTCCCTATGTGGTGTTGAGCTGCCATCTGCACCATTGGCATCATCACAGATATGTGGGGCACCCGGAGACCGGAGCTGCAAGCACGCACCTTGTGGAGGAGCCTTGTGCCGGGACGGTGACGGCACGCGGCGTTGCGGTGGCACGGGTTGTGCAGGGGCATTGCCCATCTCAGCTCGAGCCCTGAGCAGCGCCCGTAATGCCTCACAGCAGTTGGAGGTGGCATTAGGGCAGCTGGGTGTTGTGGCACAGAAGGTAGGAGTGGTGGCTCCATGACACTTTCTGGGGTCCCCTTGTGACCCTTTTGCATGGCCTGCTTGTGCCCTCTCCATGACACTTTGATGTGCCCTTCCATGTTCTGTTTGTGCCCTTTCCATGTCCCTCTGTATGTCCCCTTCTATGCCCTCCTTGTGCCCTTTCCATGCCTCCAAGGATATTAGCCCTTGGTGTCCCTCTTATACCCCTTCACAACTGCCCCTTGTGCCACCTGTGTGCCCACTTGGGCCACTGCTGCACCCTCTGTATGTTCCTTTGCACCCTCCTTCCATGCTCCCTTGCAGGCCCCCATCTTGTCCCTGCACATGTAACCTCATGCCCCCTGGTCACCCCCATGCCCCCTTCCTGGGGCTTCCCTGTGCCCCCCGCTCAGCCAGCTGCTCCCCAGATGCAGGAGGTGCAGGAGCTGGCACGGGGGGCACGGAGCTGGGCGGAGGAGGCACTGGGGCGCTCACAGGCTGCCCGCAGCCGTGCGGAGGAGGCGACGGCCCAGCTACGGGATTTCATCCGTCGAATCAAGGCCTTCCTGGCAGGTAGTGCCAGCACCAGGTGGGCACGTGATAATGGTGGGGCTCAGTGCACCCACCCTGAGCTCATTCTCCTCCCCTGTCCCTGCAGAGGAGGGAGCCGACCCAGGCAGCATCGAGCTGGTGGCCCAGCAGGTGCTGAACATCTCCCTGCCCAGCAGCCCCAGTCGGATCCAGGAGCTGCTGTGGGAGATGCGGGAGAGCATCAGCCAGCTGGAGGGGGTTGATGCAGTGCTCAATGGCACGGCAGAGGGGCTGGCCATGGCACAGGGGCTGCTGGCGCGGGGACAGGAGGCCAGGTGAGTTATGAGGGATATGCCAAGGTGGGCAGGGTATGGGGTCAGTCCCCCAGCCCTGGCAGGGCCTGGAGCTGCCCATGCTGCCACAGGGAGCGAGCAGAAGGTGTGAGGGATGAGCTGGTGGAGACACAGCAGGCACTGGAGGTGGCACGGGCTCAGGCAACGGCAGCAGGGAGTGCCCTGCAGAGCGCCAGGAATGCCATCCGGGCAGCTGAGAACAAAGCCAGGGAGGTAAGGGGCACCAGCTGGGGAGTGGAGCCAATTCCACCAGCATGGCCGGGAGTGGGGATGCTGTTTTGGGCATGCTGGGGACAACCGGGTTGGTGCTGTGGGGGCACACTGGGAGCAATAGGGTTGGTACTGTGGACAGCAAGACTGATACCTTTAGGCACATCATAGATAGGGAGGCTGGTACTGGGGGAATGGTGGGGGGTGGGTGCTGTGTGTTCACCAGGGCAGTGGGCCCGGCACCGTGGGTGTGGCAGTTGCCGTGCCTGCCACAGCCGGTGTCTGTGCCTGCCCAGGCGGAGCGCAAGCTGCAGGCCCTGGACGCCAAGGAGACACGGGCACAGCGGCGGCTGCAGGAGCTGGCACAACGCGTCACTACCCTGCAGGAGCGCAGCCAGAATGTTCGCCACATGGCCCAGCAAGCCAAGGATGGGGCACAGCGTGCCACCTCCAACTCAGGGTCACTTAGCCAGGTGAGCTCCAGCCCTGCTTGGCCGTGGTGTGGCACCAAGTAGAGACAGAGTGCTAGGGGTGCTGAGCCTCACTATCATGCCCTTGTGCCACCAGGACCTGGCGCATGTGACGCAGCGCTACGTGTTGCTGAAGAACCGGGTGAGAGTGCTGGATGGGGTATCTGATGGGGCCCTGCAGCGTGTGACACAGCTGACAACAGAGGCCCGAAACCTCTTGGACAAGGCCAGCAACAGCAAGAGGAAGCTGGAAGGTGAGGGGGAGAACATGGTGGGGGACATTCCGAACCATCTCCTTGTGCGTCTCCCTGTGTCCCCCTGGGCCCATCTCACCTGGTGGCCCAGGAGTGATGCGGGCTGGTGACATGGTGGTGAGCTGCACCATGACCGTGTCCCCTGTCCTGCAGACCTGGAGCAGCGCTTTGGGGCCAACGAGCAGGCAATGGCAGCAAAGGTGACACAACTGCAGGAGTTGGAGCAGCAGGTCTCGGGACTGCTGCAGGAGATCCGCGAGAGGGCCAACGCTTATGCCACCTGCTAGGGACCATCGACGGCGTCGGGGGCCGGTCCTGCCCCGCAGCCCCCCTCCGGTCCCCGAGCTCGGAGGTCCCGTCCACTCCACACCCCCCTATATCGCGGGCGCGCCTGCAAATAAAGCCCTGAACTGTGTGTGCCTGTGTCCGGTGCCTTCTGCCTTTCCCTGCCTCCTGCCTCCCCCTGCTCCTGCCTCCTGTATTCTCCCGCCTGTCCCGGCCGCTTCGCTCCCCCGCTCCCCACTCCGGCCGGGATCCGCCCCGCGCTTTCCGCACAGCCCCGAGCGCTGCGCCTGCCGCCCAGTTCGGAGGGGCCGGGAGGGACCGGGACGGGGCCGGGGACGGGAGTGGGAACGGGATCGAGTACGGGAACCGGCGGGTCAGGACGGGACGGGACGGGACCGCCGGGCACCTGCCGAGCGCCCCCTTTGCGCGCCTTTTGCGCCCCTTTCCGCCCCGTCGCGCCCCGCGATGCGGAGCCCGGTGAAGCGGAGCCCCGGCGCCCTCCTGCTGCTGCCTCTGCTGGCCGGTGAGTCCGCGCCCCCCGCCCAGCGGGGCCGGTGGGTGCCGGGGTCCGGTCCGGCCCCGCCGCCCCGTTTCCGGGCGGCCGCGGAAGGGGCCCCGGGCGCGGCGGGGGGAGCCCCGGCCCCCCCTTTGCCCCGCGGCGCCCTGAGCCACCCGCCGCCCCGCAGGGCTGGGGGGGGGCCTAGCCCCCGATTCCCCCCAGGGCTGTGCCCGCGGCAGCTGCTACCCGGCCACCGGGGACCTGTTGGTGGGGCGAGCCGCCAGCCTGAGTGCCACCTCCACCTGCGGGCTGCGCCGGCCTCAGCCCTACTGCATTGTCAGCCACCTCCAGGTGAGTGGGACGGGGACTGGGGGCACTGGGCGGGGATGTGGGTCACGGGACAGGGCTGAGGACACACGCTGAGCCTCCCACTCGCAGGAGGAGAAAAAGTGCTTCATCTGCGACTCGCGACGGCCCTATGATGCCCGCACCAACACCAACAGCCACCGCATCGAGAACGTGGTCACCAGCTTCGCCCCCCGTCCCAAGAAAGCCTGGTGGCAGTCGGAGAATGGTGAGCAGTGGGTGGGGGTGGCAGGGCATCCTGTCCTGTCCCGGGGGGCTCTCTTTCCCTTCCTCCCACGCTGAGGAAGTGTGACTCAGCCAGCGGCCACGGCCGCACCCCTGGACCACGGCCGGGTGGGGGGGACGAGCCCCAGGGAGCCATGGGTGGGTGCTCCCAGCAATCACACCTGTCATCCCCAGGTGTGGAGCACGTCAGCATCCAGCTGGACCTGGAGGCCGAGTTCCACTTCACCCACCTCATCATGACCTTCAAGGTGGGTCCCAACATTTAGGGTACCCAGGCTGGGTTGGGATGGGATGGGATGGGATGAGACAGGCCCCTGAGGGCTGTGGGGCTGGCCCCCGTCCCACCTGGGTGTCTTGCAGACCTTCCGCCCCGCGGCCATGCTGGTGGAGCGCTCGGCCGACTTTGGGCGCACCTGGAAGGTCTATCGCTACTTTGCCTACGACTGCACTGCCTCCTTCCCCCACGTCCCCCATGGGCCCCCACGCCGCATCGATGATGTCATCTGTGAGTCCCGCTACTCTGACATCGAGCCCTCCACTGAGGGAGAGGTGAGGCCCCAGCAGCACTCCAGGAGGGTTGAGGGACCCCCTGTTCTCTCCTCACCACCTTGCTGTCCATCCTAGGTGATCTACCGAGTGCTGGACCCTGCCATCCCTATCCGGGACCCCTACAGCTCCTCCATCCAGAGTGAGTCGCCAGCCCTGGGCTCCTGCCTGGCTGCTCTATTTTGGGCGCAGCTATTTTGGCTGTTCTTTCCCTGCTCTGAGCCTCACAGTGGGGTCAGGGCCTGATCCAGCCCTGATCAGCCCTGATCCAGCAGCAGCTCGGGCCCCTCCTGCACCCTGCCCTGTGGGAGCAGCTAAAGGTCAGGCTGTATTGGGTCAAGTGGAGGGGGATGGTTGTGCCATGGCTGCACCCAGTGCTGAGCAGCAGCCGCAGTGCAAGATGGGGAGTCATGCTGGGCACAAGATGCAGTGGGTTAATCACCCAGGGCTAAATTTAGACTGGGAGCAGGAGGGGAGGAATCTGCAGGGCAGGGCTTCTGGGAAGCTGCAGTTCTGGGGAGCTGTCCTTTCCTGCCAGGGCCCCCCGGCTGCATCCATCAGGGACAGCTGTCTCCTGGGCACAACCCCCAGTGGTGAGTGTCCCACCACCCATAAAGGTGCTGTGCCCAGGGCATTGTTCTGCACTCGTGGGGTCCCAGCCTCTGCAGAGGCTCTGCTGGGGTGTGCAGAGCCCTGGCCCACACACAGGCAGACTGTGCACAGCCACGTGCATGGGAGTTGAACCCCTGCAGTTACATACAGCCCAACATGGCCACGTGCAACCACATGCCTGTGAGCCAAACCATGCAGAGCCCTGGGCCAATACACTGTGCTGTAAAAAAACACAACAGCCCAGCCTGGATAGCAGCCCTGCTCAGACACCCCATGCCATGCACAGCCCATCCCAGCCATGCCCAAGCCATGCCCAGCTCCTCTGAACTGCCCACAGCCCGCTATGCCATGCACAGCCCAGCCCAGCTGTGCCCGTCAGAGGTGAGGTGTGCATGGATGTGCCCAGCCATGCCATGCCAACACGAGTCTCTCCCTGCCGCAGACTTGCTGCGTGTCACCAACCTGCGGGTGAACCTCACCAAGCTGCACACGCTGGGGGATGACCTGCTGGACTCGCGGCGGGAGATCCGGGAGAAGTACTACTACGCGCTCTACGAGCTGGTGATGCGTGGGAACTGCTTCTGCTACGGGCATGCCTCTGAATGTGCCCCGCTCAGTGGGGCACCTGCCACCGCCGACGGCATGGTAGGGCGAGCCAGCCCCGCGTGCCCTGCTGGAGCTGGGTAGCTGCGCTGCCTAGTTCTGTAGCCCTTGACCCGTGGCATCCCGACAGGTGCACGGGCGCTGTGTCTGCAAGCACCACACGCAGGGGCTGAACTGCGAGCGCTG